TTATACATAACTTACTAAGCAATACTCTTGCTGAAAAAAAAAACATTGAATATATAATTCATCCTGCTTTGTAATCTTGTTGGACTCAGGAGACATTTGGTCAACCTAATCCGCAATCCTGGCTCCCACAGTCCGGATAACTGTAAGACTCGTGGGGCAAAATATGCTAGAAGTACTGAAACTGTTTAATACCATATCCAATAATAACAATTACAGTCATCAATCTAAATAACATAAAATAAGATAAATTAAAGCAATCTGGATGAAAATAAAATAAAATAAACAGACGTTGAATAAATTTGCATCGAACTCATTTAAAATTCATAAGTAATCATGTGTGTAATACCTCACTCATCGAAAATGGTGGCCGGATGACGGAGAACGAGCGCTTGAAAGTTTCTTCCGAAACCGATCGGGTTTCTGCAAAATCCAGCGGATTCCGGCGGTTTCGACGGCTGGGCTTGGCCGGGAAGGGAAGAGGACAGCTTCCCGGTTCTTTTCGATTTGGTCCCAAGGCCGGAGGTGGGGTGTGGTGGAGGCGGTGGCTTGGAGAAGCCACCGGCTGGAGAAGGGTATCGGGGGGGGTTGTCGGGTGCGCCGGGCTGGAGAGAGAGAGAGAGAAATTGAGGGTTTTTAAAAATCTAATTTTCCAAAATTACCTTTTTTCCCTTGAGTGTATTTTGACCGTACTTTCTTCGTTATAATTCCGATTCGAGTCCACTACGTGTCTACGAACTCGTTTCGTCGCGCTCTACGCAACGGTATAATTGAAATCCTCAATTTCCTTCTTGGTCAAAAAGTCAACCTTTAACCTAATAAAAATTCTAAGGGCATTATAGTCTTTTCTTCTAATAAATTAATAATTAAATAATAATTTTTGGTTTGGGTTATTACAATCTACCCCCCTTAAAAAAATTTCGTCCTCGAAATTTACTTACCTATCACTCGGAAAGGTGAGGGTACTAAGCCTGCATCTATTACTCGAATTCTCAACTCTGTTCTTTTGAAACTGTACTCACCAATTGCATCTCAAAAACTGTAACTATAAGGCAATCAATAAAATCTGGAGGTCACACATTTATGTCTGAAAACCTGAGGTGGCTTAAGGAAATATAAAGCTCTGAAAAGATCTGATAAATAACTGAATTCTGATAAATTTAAAACTATGCTGCTCTGACTTTACGATTTAGCTAAAATCCCTTTTTCCCTCTGAGTGTCTGACACCTGGCTAATGCTGGGTGTAAAAGACTAGTTTACGTTTTTAACTGAATTTAAATAAAATTTTAATGTGACTTCTACCAAAAATTCGGCAGAGTCACCCCTGTAACTGAACATTTCCCAAAAAAATATTCGGCCTGTAAAACAAGGATATATATATATTTATATAACTCATCTGCCAGCATGCATTAAATCATATCCAAATAATCAAGCATCATAATATTTTGGCCTCAGGCCACAACAATTTAAATAAATCAATCTGCTAATAAAATTCATCTCAACTTCTTGATCAACAAAGATACTCTGGCAATTCAACATGCTAACTTGTGCATTCTTATTCATGCATGACTTATCAAATGATAATTCTACTGAAAAATACTGAATGTATAACTCATCAAGTTCTGTAATTCTGGCTGGACTCAGGATACATCTGGTCAACCTGATCCGCAATTCTGGCTCCCACGGTCTGGATAACTGTAAGATTCGTGGGGCAACATATTTAATACCATATCCAATAATAACAATTAAAATCATAGATAAATTAAAACAAACTGGATTAAGAGAAAATAGGCAAGCTCTGAATATCTTTATATCG